GTACCATCAAAAGTGATTGCTTTTTCATGGCAAATGCTTTTAAATAGAATCCCTACAAAGGTCAATTTGGCAACACGTGGAATTTTACATGACACTCAAAATATCATGTGTTATTGGTGCGATTCATGCCACATGAACATACAGATCACCTATTTCTATCTTGCAAAGTTTCTTACAAGCTATGGACTAGATGCATAAATTGGTGGGGGCTATGTTATGTCCTCGGAAACACATGTATGCAGGTCTTCCACCAACATAGATGGCTAAAGGGTTCAAAAAATCTGAAAAAGGGATGGAACATGATGTGGTATGCCATAGTATGGTCAACGTGGTTGAGTAGAAATGAAACCGCTTTCCAACAAAAGGAGCTCAATGAGGATAAGTTGTTCGAATCCATACAAACTTGCTCATTTCACTGGGTTAGAACTCTCTTGAATCTAGAACACATTTATTTTATAGATTGGATTTTTGATCCAGTGAGATGTTTAATTACCAAGAAATAGAGGACAGGTGAGAAGATAGTTCCCAATTCTTTGGCTAGGGTGGCTTTTGTTTTTCTGCTTTTAGACCCCAAGGCTAGTATTTTGATGATCTTATAGATGTATATGGGTTGAGTACCCCTTGTACTCATTTAATATAATTCTTTTGCTAAAAAAAAAAAAATAGACTTTTGAAATATTTTATAAACTTTATAGACTACCTAAAATGAAAATTAACTTTTTATACGAAAATAAAATTAAACTAATAGTTAATAAACTAATCATTGAATTAAGCCCTTCATTTTTCACCAACTTCTACAAATATTACTGTTCTTCAGGGGACAATCCGACAATGTAAATAAAATATTCTCAAATTAGAAAGTTCAATTCAAATCATGCAATTCAATTTGTCTTTAATTCAAAGCATTTCTAGGAGCTTGCCGCTCTGTTCAAGTATCAGCTATGCCTAAAATGGTATTTGTGGCTTGATGCTTGTAACTAAGGATTTATTTATTTTGTATAGATGTCTAACATTCTACTGTTTCTATAAGCATGTAATATGCCTACAAGTGAGCACACAAGAAATTAATACAAGTTGAAACCCAAAAGTGATCCTGATTAACCCATCACTCCCTTAACGCTAAATTTTGTTTTAGTAAATAAATTCATGTACTGGAAGGGTACCATGGAAACTAAGATTGGTGATGTTTGATTTGGTAAATTGGTTGAGGCAATTTCCCAGCATTGTTTTGAGCTTTAGTAAAGTGTATTTTTTTTTTCTTTACCAGGAAAACCAAATGAAAAATATATTACTAGTGAGTGTAAGGAATACTCCAAAATAAAATACAACCTGAAAACAAAAGTTCAACTGCAGACACTTTACAAGCGCAAAACGTATCACAATTTAGCACATAAAACTGAACAAATTAATAAAATAAATTCATCCCATATCTCGTTTCAGCATCTTGTAATTTTCAAATTCTTGCAATGTTGAACAATGACTTCCTTGCACTTCATAGACCTTAATATTCAATCTTAATAGAAAAACACATAACCTATCTCTTTATTTTTAAGCTATAAAAAAGTTTTATTCTGTATAGTCTTCAGCAATAACACCTCAAACATCAACTTAGTCCCAAACACCTTCATATTCCCCGAAAACCAGATAAACAAAGCATGACCAAAAAGATGAAGGCTCCTAAATCCAGCAGACAACTCCCACTTATAGCATGCATTACAGACTCTGCCAAACCAAAAATATCATTTGGCAAAACACTCAGATACCTAGCAGTGAGACTGAGAAAACTTTATATTCTAACCAAATTCCTCATAAGAGATCCATAGAAAGTAAAGAGTCCTCAGATCACAAATATTACATATCAGTAACTCATGACAATTTTTGTTTGTGTCTCAACATGATATGACATGTATTAAAATAAGTATTGATCACTTCATGGAATAAAAGGTTTGCAGGAAAGCTAGGACGAGAAGGATAGCAGCAACAATCTGAGAAACAATGGCCCATGGCTTTGCAAAATGATTGCGGGTATAAAAAGCTTGCCATTTTGGCCACAATTTCTGCTTATATTCATTCACTTCTCAGCAAAGCTTCTAGTTATAAAAATCTTTCAAAAAAGCATCATGGTATAGCATCTTAAAGAACTGTGTTGTGTCATGTGGGTTAAGCCAGTTGATAAGAATCCCACTCTTGCTGAGTTCTTCCATGTTCTCTTCGTTGTTCATAAGGTTGTACAAGAGTATAGCATAGCATGTAACTCTTGAAGAACAGTTTGGATAACATTGCTCCTAGCTGATCAGATTTCGGAAGGCAGGTCCAACGGTTTCTTGGATGAGAATTGATGACATTTCCAGAGTGCCTCTACTGAATTTGACATCCAGGATGCTTTATGATCTTACTTTCCTGAAACTGATTCCAGATTCTTTGATGCTGGTGGCAGAAGGAAGAATAGGCTGCCATGATACATAACTCTTCTTGGCCTTGTTGCTTTCCAAGTGGCAACACCAAAGAACTTCTTAACAAATCAAGAATGTACCGGATTTCTTGATTGGCGAAAATATCTAGTTGTGTAGGAGATTTCTCGGATGAAAAAATGTTGTGGAAGAAATCCAAGGCGAGTTGAAGTAGGGACCTGGTTTCAAACGAACCTCTTGTTAAGCTAAACGGATGCTCAAGCACAAACCAAGGTATTTGATTTTCTAGCAAAATCAAGTCATGGTATAAGAACTGAAGCGTACAGGAAATGGAGAAAATGGATCTTTCCGAACCACTCCAGCATCCTTCCTGAACAGTTCAACAATGAAGCAGCGATCAAGCACCAACATTTCAATGAATGCTTGTTTGATTATAGAACTTCTTCTGCGTAGCACTCTCAATCTTTTGTTTCATAATTTGTGATCGTTCTGATGCATTCCATCAGTGTTGTCTCTGCGTCATGTGTTCTGTATTTTTTTATTATTTTGTTATTTTTTATTTAAAAATATAAATTTTATTAATT